TTTAAGATGCCAGGAGACTGTTTATAATTTGTATTGCAGAAAACTAACTTGCATGAATAACTTCCTAAATCTTTAAGTATGTCGGTTTCTTCACTATCAGAAAGAAGAACTGCTAATTCTTTGTTGATTCTGTTTGTGTGATTGGATCACTTAGTACTCTTAGCTAGGGTTAGTGGTCTATTAAATTACAGCTGGTGAGTACTAAAGCACCCCATCGTGGGTTACAAACTACAGTGGCTAGGTTCACCCATCTTGTTAAGCTAAAAGCAAACCAACAATGGGTTTTCATCAGTGCCCCAAATTATGACTTAAAGCTTTTATTTATTATAGGCCAGGAAAATCTTCACCTATTTTATTTCTGCATAATAAGTAATTGTTAAGTTACTGGAGCAAAAGCATTTTTAAAAGGCAGTTGACCATTCTCAGACTCAAAGCAACAGTTTATTCTGTGATCTGGGTGAATTCTGTTTTTACATAAATGGGACTACCCATCCCTCAGCTCTATTGCCTCTGCTTTTTTTCCGTTCTGTGGTTAGTGGTCAGATCAGATGATAGTCTGACAACTTTGAAAAGATTATCAATAGCTACCCACGCTAAGTTTCTTGTTCATAGAAGCAGTTCTTGTCTCTGCACCATCTGAAGAAGTTAACCATTGCCACTGAAGAAGCGGAAACAGCAAGATGCAATCAACTAGATGTGACTGACCTCATGTAACTTGGTAAGAGTGTACTTGCAGATTCTTTATTTGTGAAGGACTCCAGAGTTTATTTTGAAAACTATTTGATTCACTCTTACTGTTTAGCAGACAAACATGTCTTTCTCAGAGTCACTCCTTTGCAAAACAATTGACAGGACTTTTACAAATGTTGGTTATTTTCAAAATGGAGACGTGGAATAGTCATCCAGTGTAATTATGGGGCTGATTACATTTTAAGTGTGCATCATAGAGACAGGCAATATTTTGAGTTGTCAGAATTAAGGAAAATTCATCACAGTTCACATTTTCATTAAAATACTCAGTATTTTAATGAAAATGTGAACTGTGATGAATTTGGCAATATCTTTTTTTACCATGAAAGAATTTACAAACGTTTTACTTTTCCAGAACTCAAAATCAGATGCAGATACATTAAAACGGAGGGTGCAGAGGAAGCAGAAAAGTCCAAACATTAGGCCCAGAAATCATTGTAGAAAGTTCTGTAGTTTTGACTCCAGTTTCAAGATAAAGATGATAGGTTGAATGAATTATCACTGATAGGTGTTGCAAGGCAAGGTTTACCTGTGGCTTTGTCCCAGGAAGTCATTTCCATTTCTGAAAAGGAAAAGGGATGCTTCTCTTTGGTGCCTTGGTCAAAATTCATAGTCAGCAAAAAGCAGAGATGAAGAGGGAGAGGACTTGGACTTTTCATTAAGTTCATGTAGTACGCTAGATAAAAAATGTCAGTTGAAGCATTTTAGTGGTTAGAGAAACTCATGATGCAAAGTTCCTTGTGCAATGCTAGAAAATCACTTCTCTTTTTTGGAAGACACAATCTCAAATGGATAAATGCAGTGATTCCAACACATTTCTATGGCATTTTCATTGACTTAATAGGATCTTTTAACGATACCAACTTTTTTATTTAAAGTACTACCCAATTTTGTATGAATGTTGGAAGGCAGCCACCTACTAGGCTGGTCAATGATCCCACAAAAGGTGGAGCAGGACCAGAGCTTCACATTTCAGCCCCATCAGAGCTGTGAATAGCATCAGGCCACTGCCTGTAGGTAGACAGTAAGTAAAGATAGGGCAGAGTTGGCAGGACAAACATGGGAGCCCAATCAATGGCACTGGAAAACACCTTGCTCAGGGTATCCTAAACCATGATGGGTAATGCTAGTGTAACCTCTGTGTGAGCTCTTTAAACTTTGGTTGGAAGAAACCTTAATAAATACAGAAAATCAATAAACATTGACTGAATATTTTTGATTCAAGCCACAGCTGTACTAAACAATAT